TTCGAACACTTTAATACGTTTTGCAGGACAACCATAACGATTTGAGAAGTTCATTAAGCAATTTGGTTATAGTAAAAAGTGTATTCTTTAAAAAAGGAGGGTTTACTAAAACAAACTTAATTATTTTTATTCCTCAAATTTACCAAAAATGCTTTTTAAAGTTTTTTATCTAATAAGAGTAGTTCAGGAACACAATACTTTAGTAGAGAATTTTTAAAAGCTTCAATTATACGATTATTAGATGGAATTTTCATCTCCATTGCGCAAGTTAGATTAATTATGCCAAAATATCTTAAAATTTTAGTGTCCCTTACGTTTTTAGTAGAAAACAATACTCTAGGCTAAAAAAAAAATGTTAAAGCTCATAAATATGCCTAGTTGATAGGAGGAAGGTGGTTTTCAAATAAAAACGGCTGCAACAGCTTCTCTATTTTTAAATTTTTTTTTTATGCTTCAGTTTTATATATATTCAGTTTGTAATTTTTTATTTTTTCTTTATATAAAATGAAAAAAAAAAAAAACAGCACTAGAGCCTCTCTTTGCATGTAAAGCCGGGGTGCTCATTAACTTTTTGGCTTTTTACATTTACAAAGTGTAGAAATAACGCAATAACAATAGGAATAAACCTAACTTATCTTTATTCCTGTTCCTTTGCACAATGCTCTTGCTTTATTTTTTCTTAGGGTCTTAGAGTATATGATGTCAGCTCCATTTACAATAGTTTAAAAACACAACTTATTAAGTTAGAGTGAGTATTTCTACTGCAATCTACGAAATTAATTATTGTGATATAAATGAAATTTATTGTTATATAAATAATGCAAGAAGACTGACTGGTTTTAACCCCATACTTTTGCATATGCACGACCTCCCTTTTTTATGTATATATTTTTGTTAGTGTGGTTTCGGACACTGTCTCAAAATTCTATAAAAAATTGTTTATAAAAATGTATAAGTTATAGATGCTTTTACTGACCAGTGTCGGCCTGTTATTTATACCTATACACAAGGTCCAAATACGCTTCATATATGTACAATAAATTTTGTAGAACCAGATAAAATTTTACTTTATTTCGTTTGTATTCAGCTAGTAAGGTAGAGAATTAAATTAACTTCTCTTTTCTTGTATTTTTATTGGTTGTTTCTTAGGTTCTGATTGAATTAACATGATCACTTCTGTGAAAATTTAGAGGGTTAGTGTTGTGTATTTTTGTGTTTATATATGTTTATTATACGGCAATTTTTTAGTGATACACTTTTTTATAAATTTAATATTTTTTATATAGTGAATAATTTTTTAAAATACTCTTAGTAATAATAATATATAAAAAAATAAATTAAAAATTATTTTAGTGCAAAATATTAAAATATAAAAGCTTTTTACATTTATTTTATAGCATTAATATTTTTTTATAATAAACTTTTTTTATATGTTAAATATTAATAAAAATCTTCTTTTATAGTAATAAGTACAAAAAATAATGAACTAAAAAAAATACAATTTTTTAATATAAATTTTTTAATGGACATTTATAATAATAAAAAAAACTTTTTATATTTCTTTTTAGCAATAATATTTTTAGATCAACTTTTTCATATTTAAAATATTTTACTATAAACTTTTTTATTAAATAAAATATTTGATAATTATAAATATATAAAAAAATAATAAAATTTCAAAAAAAGAACTTTTTATATGTACTTTATATATGGAAATATATTTTAGGATAATTTTTATTTTACACATATATATATAAGAAGTATGTAAAAGAAGCTACTATTACTAATAATAATTATTTAGTGAAGTATAGAGTGCTTAACTTTTTATATAAAATTTATTAATTATTTATTATCGTTTTTTATATATAGTTATATAATAATAATGATATTAATAAAATCTATATATTATTTTATTAATATATTACTTTCATTATTTATTGTGCGTTATTAAAATATATATATAATAATGAACTAGAAAAACTAATATTTATAAGCCAATGAAACTAATGTAATTCTAGTATTTCATAATATACTATTAGCCAATAAAATTTTGTTTCTAATATAAATATACCGATTGCAGTTTTTTATTAAATTAATATAAACTTTAGCCAATGGAAACAAAGGCTTGTTTACCTTTTTTTAATGTTAAATTATTTTAATATAAAAACACTTTTAAAAGGAAATTTTAATATTTTATATAAAAATACTATTAATAGAGTTAATTATTTATAAATATTAAGCCAATGGAAATAAAATTATTTATTTATATATTTATAAGGAATGAAAAAAAAAAATAAAAAATTTTCCGGAATTTTGATAATAAATTTAAGCCAATAATTTTGTTACTATTAAATTAAACATGAAAACAGAAAAAGAAAAGTTTTTTTTTGTTTTAATTTTTTCTGTAGAATTGTATATTACATAATAATTTGTTTAGATATTAATCTTAAAAATATAATAAGTAGAACTAAAAATAAAAAACTAGAGAAAATTTTCATTTTAGTTAGTGATAATAATAATGCTTAACTTTTTTTATGAAAGAAACTACCCAAAAATATTATTAAACGGTGTTATAAAAAATATTTTTAATATCTTTATATAGAAATTAGAAGTATTGTAATTCTAAAGTAAAAAAAAAATACATAAAACTTTTTTTTAATATATAAAATGAAAATAAAATTATGATAACCTTGTTATTATTATCTCTTTACTTGGTACACTTTTATATTAAAAAGAATATATAAACTTTTTGTGAATACTTGTTACTTAGAGTATTTTTATATACAAGAAATTCTTTTGTATATGCTTTTTGAAAAAAAATTTTAGTAAACTTTTATTATTATTTTTTTTTAAAAGATATACAATTTTTTATCCAAAATACTACGTTATAAATAGAATTTATATAAAAAAATACTACTACTTTATTTATATTCCACAGTTTTTTTCTATATAAACTTTTTTTATATATTAATAAATTAAAAAAAATACGGCTTATTTCTTTTTAACATTTTTATTTTTCTTCTATATACAAAAAAAAAATAAAAAGTTGAACGGTTTGGCGGAGAAAATTGCCTGTTTTGGACTGGCCATGGCGTTTCTCACAGTTATTATAACTACTATTATAATATTTTTTTTTCCTGTTTGTCCATATTATATATATAAATTCCCCATAATTATTGATACTAAAAATATTTTATTCTGGTTTTATTAACACTATGGTTTTCTATTTCCTCAGAAAATTATAATTCATTTATGACAATTATAATTGTTCTATTAAAACATTAATTTGCTGCCGTAATTGAAGTTATTGGTAGTATAGTGAATTCTGGGCGCCTAATTATTTTTATTCTTTTTTATTTTTTTTTTGATTTGTGGATAATTTTTCGCACTATATTTTGTTATTTTTTATCGTGAGTAATTATTATAACCTGTTAATATATGTCGCACCGTTTTAGTTATTATTATTATGATCTGTTATTATTTATTCGCACTAATTTTTGTTATCACTTTTTATTCTTTATTATTATTTATACTTTTTCTTTAAAAAATTAATTTTCTTAAATACTTTTCTGTAAATTTTTTTGTTTTGTATTTATTATTAAAGTTTTTCTTATATATATATAAATAAAAGTTTTATAGTAATTTCATATAGTAACTTTTTTATGTAGAATATAACTGTTTCTAGTTTTTTAAAAGTTTTTATTCTTTTTAATAATTTTTATATGAATAAATATATTAATTAGTAACTTTTCTTAGTTTTTTATTAATATTTATTAGATTATAAATCTTACGAACTCTTTGTTTGATAATATTTCTTTCTTTAAAAGTATATTAACTTTTTGTATTTTTTTTTAAATTTTTTTATATTTATTATTCTGATAAAAATTAATTCAATAATATTATGAAAACCTTTTGTTAGTAGTCGTTTTTAAAAGGTATTATAATATTTATATATTTTTAGAGTTTTTATTCTGTATATTATTATCGAAGACTTGTTTATAAAAATAATGTTTTATTTTTTTTAAAGTAAATACTCTAATTCTAATTTTAATAGTAATTTTTAAAGAAGACAAAACAGTAAAACTTTTAGTTTTTTAAAAATCTTCTATTTTTATATTATTATTACTTCTCTATTACTATTTATTTTTATAGTTTTAATTTAACTTTTGCTATTATTTATTTTTTATATTAGTTTACTATCTATTTTTAAAATAAATGTTTAGTTTTTTATTTCTTTGTTAAAGTTTTTTTATTTTATTATATAAAACATTTTATTAGTAATTTTAAAAAAAGAAAAAAAAGTAATAACTTTTATTTTTTATATGATAATATATATACTTTGATTAGTTTATTATATATTTTTTAAAATATATAAGTTTTTTGTTTAATTTTTTATAGAAGCTTTTACTATATAATAACTTTCTAGTATTTTTTAAATTTTTCATTTTTATATTGTCGCTCTTATCTAATAATATTTATAAATAACATATTTTTTATTAGTATAATTTTTATATAATTTTTAAAAATATCTTTTTATAAATTTTTTTTATCGTTACTTTAATTTTTTTATTAGTTTATATTTTTTAAAATTACTTTAAAAAGAAAATTTTAACTTTCTATTTATTTATTGTATTTTTTATTATTTGCTTATTTCAAACATTTTATTAGTAATTTTTTTAAGAATTTTTTTTTTTAGCTTATCTAAGTTACTATTAATTATAAATATAAAATTTATTAATTTTCTTTTAAAAATTGTATTATTTCGTTATTTTTATTAAACATTTTATCTGTAATTTTGCTACCAAAAATTATATATATATTGAAAATAACTTTTTTAAAGACATTTTAAATTCATATCGGTTTTATTTTATTTTATTTTATATTGGATAATTTATATCATTTACTATTTACCATTATATATTTGTTAAATAATAATTATATTTCTATAACCCTTTTTATATTTTTTTTAAGAATATAATTTTTAATAATCTTGAAAAAAGGCTTTCATGCGTATTATGACATGTGCTCAAGAGCTCTTGATAAGCGCGAATCTGAAGTAACTAGTAGGTTCTTATTTTTTCTCTATCATATATATATATTAACTTTGAATATTGATTAGTATTTTTTTAAAAGTATGAAAGTATAAATATAAAAAAGGATATTTTAAGCTAAAGAAAAAAGATTTTATTGTATAAGATTATAACAAAAAAATATTTGTGTGCAATATTGATGATAATAACGGGTTGAAAAAGCTAGAAAAACTATACCATATTTAATAATAATAATAATATAACCAAAATGTTTATATATATTATTGCTTTTTTCAGTTATAAGGAAGTAACTTTTATCAACTTTTTATAAAGTTAAAAGTTTTTATATATAAATTTTAATAATGTAATAAAGTTTATTTTGTATTTTCTATTAATAAGGAAAGAGTATACTAATATAAAAAAAGTTTTTTGGTAATATTTTATTATAAATAAAAAAAATTTAGTTATAAAATATTATAATATATTTACAAGTCAGTTATATTATAATAAAACTAAGAGGTTTATTGTAATAAATATATTTAAACTAACATTGTTCTACATTTATAAGAAAATAATTTTTTTTTATAGTAATATTTTAATTTATTTTTATGTATATAATATTTTATTATGACTTTATATTATAGTATAATATATTTAAAAATATTAATATTATATAATTATAAGAAAGTAATTATTTATTATAACTATAAAAACTTTATACTCCTAGTAAAAATTTATTAAAAAATTTTTTAAGGAAAAATATATTTATAAAAAGTTTATTATTATAATATTATATATAAATATAAACGTTATATATTTGCTAAAATATTATAATTATCATAAAAAGCGTTAATTTTTTATATTTATTAAAAATATCATTGCTATTAATTTTTTTATTAAATATTTTTAAAAAAATATATATTACTTTTTTACTATATTTCTATAATTAATATATTTATTTATTTTCTTAGATAAATAGTAAAACTGAAATATATGTAAAAATGTTTAAACATTTTATAATATAAAGTAAATGAAACGCAAAATTTTATAATAAAATATTTTTTAGTATTAAATTATAAAATAAAAACAACAACTTTTAATGCATTTATTTTTTTACTTATAGATGATAAGTTTTTTTATATATAAAATATTCTTAATAAAACTTTTTATTGGAGTTTAATTAATAAAAAAAAGCACTTTTTTCTATTATATTTGGAAATAATAGAAAAATTATTGATGTATAATTTATAAAACTTTATTATTATAGTTTTATAAATTTATTGAAAACATTTTTTACATTTATTTATAAGTATTTATATATATTTATATTTTTATAAAAAGTATAAAAAAGAAAATATTAAGTAAAAAATATATATATATAAGTACCGTAGAACATATTTTAAAATATAATAAAAAAAACTTTTTATCTATATTTTTTTAAAACTTTTTTTATTATTTATAACTATTTATATGTATTTATTATGGTTATTAAATTAACTATAATAAAGAAACTATAAAGTATAAAAAAATCTAATAAGAAAATATTTTTTAATGTATAACTGGAGAATTTTTTAAAACTTTATTTAAGTTTTATATATAAAAAACATCAGCGCTTATAAAAAATAAATAAAATAAAATTTTTAATTTAATAAAAAAAGTATTTATCTATATATATTAGTGCTTTAAAAAAAATATAAGCTTAAAGAAACTTTTTTATAGGAAAAATATTTTTTATATATAATATAAGAACCCTTTATATGTATATTTTATTAATAAAACTTTTTATTAAAATTTTTAAATAAAAATAAATTCTTAATCATAGAGTTATTTTGATATTTATATGTATTTATTAATGCTTTTAGAATAATAAAACTTTATATTAAATATAAGAACTTTATCAAAAAAAACGAATATTTTTTTAAAGGGCAGTGCTTTGCGTTGTTGAGGCTTTACTGTTGGATTGCGGAGCTTCCATTGGTCCGTTTCTACCGCAAATCGTAGCGTTGCTGATGACGATGTTTGATGAAAATAATGAACTGAAATCTACACGACTTTTCTAAATAAAAACAGTATTTTTTTATTCACTATAATAATTATTTATATATTTATTTATTTATTATTAACTTATTAGAGATAATTATTTTATTAATTGTACGTGTACTATCATCATATTTAAATATACATTATTATATTTATTCTATTTTTTTTCTTAACATTTTGTGTTATTATTACATTTATATTAACTTTATATATACAATATCATTTTCTATCATAGTCATTATTTTTTATTTTATTTTTTGTGTCATTACTATATAAACTTGATCCAAATCGTAACCCTCATTAACTTTATATATCATTTTACTATATATTTATATATACTTTTTATTTTTATTATTTCCTTTATAAATATTAAAACATATCTTATACAAATTTCTATTTATATATTTTTTTTTTATAGTTTTTGGTGTGCGTGTGCTGTAACGCACGTGCGACATTACTAGCCTGGTAGTCTTTAGATAATAACTTTATGCAAATGGAACTTTTTTTGAGTATTTGGCTTGCAAATATTGGTGTTATGATGAGGTTTGTATAATTATTGTTAATATTATCTTTAAACTAAAGAACGTTTGTTACAAATATATTATTTAGTTGTGTTATAAAAGTGTGTTATTTTATGATTTAACAACTATTCTACAAAAAAGTTTACTTCGTATTATTAAAATATGTATAAAAAATAATAATATAGCAGTAAATAATTAAGTTATTAAATATATATGTAAATATGAAACTAATATATTTAATAATTGTGATAGTAATATCGTTGTATATATTGTAAACTATAATAATAAGTATATATAAAGATATTGTTATCATTACTATTGCAGTTACTATTAGTTATATGTATATTGTGAATAAATATACTTTTTTAGGGCTCAAACATTGAAAGTTTTAATAATCCCTATATGTTCCTTGCTGCGTTTGCCTCATGAAGAACTCCCTCTAGTTATACAAAAAGGTTCATTTTTTTGACCACAATACTAATACTATTCATAATGTATATACTTATTAGAAATTTTCTCGTTTGCTTCGTATTCTTAACGATGCGGTTTTTCTATACCCCTCCGCCCTCGAAAAAGAACCATTGGAGCTTAAGAAAGAGGAAAACTACCAATCAGACGTGCCTTATGGTGGCGAGTCCCCCAATAACGGTTGTATACTTATAATGCTTATATTTTTATAGTACTTTAATTATGTGTTAATAATTTTTTTCTTTTATGGAAGTTATCTTTTACTATTCTTTTTATTTTTATTCTTATTCTTATTATTATAGTTACAATTATTATTATTATTAGAAACTCTTAGCGATGACGAAGATGCTGAAAATGAAGATTTGCCTTCGAATGTTTTTTTATTACTTTTTTATTAATGTTATTATACTTTTATTATTATTTTAGTTGGAAGATGAAAATTTTGAGGATGAATATTGGACTGACGACAGTCTTTATTATTATTATTAATTACTATTATTACAAATTAAAATAAATATTACATTATAAATATTTAATTAAGATTACTATTAAAAGGCATTAACTGATGCTACTTTTTATTAATTTTATTTATAAAATAAGTATCATGATAATAAATTTACTTATAAGACTATTTCGATGTGTCTTTCCCGTCTGCATTCGATCGCGTAGATCCTCTTGCTTTTTTTCCGCGAAACTTATTTGAATCCAAGATTGGCTGAGCTTTTAAACGAGGTTTTTATTGGCTTATTTATATATATATATATATATATTAATTTTTAAAAAAATAATTTAAAATACATTGAATTAAAAAAAAAATTAAATCTTGTATAATATTTTATATTTTATAAATATTTACTATATATTTTTATATTCATGCATTCATTTTTTAGGTCCTGCAATCTTCTACTAATTTTTCTTGCTAACTATCTTTTTTTTTATTATACTGGTTTTTATATATATTGTAATAATATTTAAAACTACTAATAAAAATATTATTTTTTAGGATTTAGCGTTCTTTGGAGCTCGCCAGTATTACTAAATTTAATAAAAAAAACTTTTATAATATCTTTTTCTGTAAAGTTTACTATATTTCATTATTATTTCTATAAGGCGTACATTGTTCACGAATCACAGGCGATTTTTAGTAGCTGCCGTATGGAATTATCATTACATTTTATTATTATATTTTGAGTCGTATCTGTAATAATACTTTAAGTATTATTTTCCTAGCAGTCTTAAATTTTTCCTTGTAGTAACAATTTTTTTGAAATTAGTATTTTTAAAGAGTTTGTAGAAAAATTTTATAGTATTTATACCGCCCATAATATATAAAAATAATTTTTAGACTTGGTAAACTTTTTCGTTGTACTAAAACTTTTTTTTAAAAAAAAAATTGCTGATCATACAGAATTGACAACTACAAGAACTACTATATTATAAGCAAATGAGCATAGAGTATTATATTATATTAAAAATAATTATTATGTAGAGTTAATGATTAAGAGGAGCTGTGGTAATTCATTTGATTGCTATCGAGCCGTGTGAGTTGCACCACGCATGCCACCTGACAAACATCGACAACCACAACAGTATCATAAGCGTTTGCCTCACAACATCCCTTAACTGTTTAATCTGGATTGTGCTCTCGTCGGCCACCCCTCAACTACATATGACAAAGTAGAATAGTATTCTTTCCCATATTTTTAAAAAGTTTGAAGAAAAGCATAAATGTTATGATTAAGGTTCTTAATATTCCTAAAAGGTTTAAAGAATTTCTCTTTATTAACTTTAAGTAAAACTTCCAATTTTATATTAGTTTTTTTAGCATTTCTAAAAAATTTGAATAAAACTTTCTTTTTTATATTAAAGTTTTTCTAATATTTTCAAAAAGTCGGAAGAAAAACTTCAAGGTCTCTTACATTATAAAGTTTAAGTAGTTTTAAAAAGTTTGAAAAAAAAAACTTTTACTATTTTTAAAAAGTTTAAATATTTTAAATATTAATAATAGTATTCGTAATAACATTTTAAATTTCATTTTTTTTTTAAGTTTCAAACTTTTTCGTAGTAATAGAAATCTTTTTTGAAAAATATATCAAAAGTTTTTTTTAAAATCTTTGAAAGTTTGAAGCAATACTTTATAAATAATTTTTATAGCAATATTAAAATTTAAATAATTTTTTTTTAGAATTTTTTACGGCTGAACTTTTATTAAAAAATAATAAATTTTCTTGTTAATACTTATACTTGTGACTAACAAAGTAAAACTGGACAGGAAAAATTTATAAGATTTTTTTAAAGTTTGCATAATTTTATATTTTATAAAACTCTTCTTTATTAGAAATTTAATGTTTTATTAAAAATTTATATAGGAATATGGGGTGCGTCAACGTTTTTTGTTTTCATTCATAATTATTTTTTACATAAATATGTTTTTGTTTTTTTTTTCCACGTACCTATAAAAAATATTGAAAAAAAAGTTTTATTTTTAGTATAATAACTCCTTTCACTTAGTAACCCGTATACATTATCGCTTTTGTTTATTACCTATATTTTTTGGTATATTGTATCATGGTAAAATGTCCCCGAATGTTCGTAATTAACCTTAGCATATATCTAAATTTGAGGGTATAAATAGATTCTGTGGTATGCCCCGGAGCCTTTCTGCTTGTGTAACTTGAAGCTAGCGTGGGGTTAGGCTTGTGCTGGGGTAGTTGATGTTGTGCGTGTTAGTGATATTTTGTGTTGATCTTTTAGTGCTACTAAAAAAATGCTGCCGTCGGGTATATTATGTAACATTTTTTTTTTTACTTCTCAGGGAAATTTTTAATCTCTTTGTTTGACCTTGCCATTTTTTTTAAAAGTTATAGTTATATTGAAGATTCCTTGCACTTTTTAATACTGTAATTTCCTACAAATATAGCCTTAGATAAAATATTTTTGTTTAGTCTTAACTATTTGTTAAAAAAAAATTTAATAAAAGTTATAAAATTTGAGATTCTTTCAAAAATATATTTTCTATTAAAATATTTTTTGTAAGCTTTTATTAGGCTATATTGAAATGTTTTTAAGAGTTCTAATATTTGTGAGATCCTTTTACACTTCAAAATTATAATTTTATTGAAGTATGGCCATTATTAACTTTTAGTTAGGCTTGTATTAATAAAATTTTTTTAAAAAAATATTTAGAAATTTTTCGCTTTTCAATTATAATTACTTTTATTAATGGCTTATTCATTCATTTTAAAGTTTTATTAAAAGTTATAAAAATTTTGAGAATTCTTTCACACTTTAGCTTTATAATTTCCTTTTTAGGTGACCTTTAATAAAATAATTTTGTTGAGCTTTTCATAAATCGTCTTGCATTTTTTTTGTTATAAATATTTTGAGATTTGTTTCGAGTGGTGCTTAGATAGATAAAAGTTTCTCCAATTTCTTCAAATATTTGCTTAACAAAAAAGTATATTAATAAATTTTAAAGATCTTTAAAAGAGAATCTGTTAAAAATGTTTTTTGCATATACGTGCTTTAACTTATCAAACATAAATTAATTTTAAGTTAAAAAATACTAAATCTTAACAAGTAATTATACAAAAAATCCAAAAAACTGTATAGGTAAAAATATATACAATACATATGACAACCTAAAGAGATTAAAAAAAAATTAAAATAAAGGCAAAAGCAAAATCTAATAAGTAAAAAAAAAAGGTTTTAAAACTTTTATAGAATTCACACAATTTAGAATTTATTTGGTGGGTGTAGAAGGTTTAACTGAATTGCTGGTAATCAGTCGTTACTTTTGTTATAAACTTTATAATATTCTTTAAAGAAAAAAGTTTAAGTTATTACCCTAAAGATTTTTAGTAGAATAATTAGACGAAAACATTTGTTAAAAAAAAGATATTTACTAACTACTAAGGATGTAAGATTTTTTACGTTAATTAAAAAGTCAAAGTTTTGACTGTTAATGGCTTTCTATTCTTCAAAGAATGAAAGCATTATAATTATAACTAATAAAAAATATTTAAAGATAAATTTATTATAAAAAAAATGTTTTGAAATTGTTTATAAAAAATTATATATCTTCAAGGAAATGCAATATAAATATCTTAATATTATAAAAAGAAATTAAAAAGTAAATAGACAATTTTAATAATTAAAAAAAAAATAAGCTAGTTAATCTAATTTCTAAAAAATTGATTTAATAATTCCTTACTACAAAATTATTACTCTTCGCGTACTGTTACTACTGGACATAGTTATCTCTTTTAGAGTCTGCATATAATGTTTTTAGATATAATAAAAAGTACGAATAAGGAGACTTTAGTAGATATATATTTTCGATTTAAAGCTTAAAAGCGATTGGACCTATTTTATTTTAAATAAACTTACCTTAATATTATCAAACAATGTCTAAACTAATCAAGCGCAAAATGCTCCGCAACATTTCAGTATATACAGCACGAATTTGCTGTTCATGTCAATTTTTCTCCGATTACCATTTCCTAAAAAAATTTATATATGCCCTGTTACGTGAATTTCTACCCTTAACAAAATACTATTAAATAAAAGTTGTTTACCCATCCGAATTGGATTTAAACTAAATAGTCTAGAATGAAAACGATTAAATGTACCCTATAGTGGTTTAAATATTTCTTTCATTATCAACTTATGCATTCGTACTATATGACGAGATCTCAGTAAATAATTACAATAATTTATTTTGAATTTATGTACTCGCTCAATAAATGTAAAAAGCATTAACTCTATGCAGAATAAGCATAGGTTAAAATAAAACGTACTTATTTTTTTATATGCTGTCACCTTTCCTTATCATCAAACCGGCTTTTCTTTTAAGGCAATTTTTTCTTTTCACAAGTAAATATAGTTTAATTTTTAATTTTTCATCATAAAAAATGTAGTACATTAGCATACTAAGAACGGTCTATGCCATGAGCAAAAGACAGCACCTTTTTTAGTAGAGGAATATGCATATTATCTTTTTAAACATTTATTTTTAAAATACTAACTTTCATACCACTCATAGCGCTTGCACAGGCGCGAGCATCGAGAAGTAAAATAAGTATTCATTCTTGGGTTTTTGCGAAGCTTAATTATTTCAAGCACCCCTTTTTAACCATAAAAGCATTATCATTACCCAGAGAAATAAGTAGAGTAAATTAGATACAGCTAAAAGTCCTTGAACCTAGGTAGCTTTACAGTGAAAAAGGACCGTGATTAGGTATTTTCCAAAATTTTATGTTGTCGTGCCTTTGAGAGTCAGAGGAAAGTAAAAATAGAACAAGGAAAGATCTGTAACAGATGCATCAAGCTCTTTTGTAATAGATCCATTATTTATGCTACCCAGTTAGCTTAGAGCTAGAGTACTACAAGGTGGGAGCACAGTCTAGATTTAAAGTAGGGTTATAAAATGTTTAAACTAAGTTAAAATACGTTCTTTTATCTCACTTCAATAAGATTAAGTGATTAATTATAGCTTAATAAACATATATACAGCTCTGGACACATGTACATGTTGGTAAATTATGTTAGTTAGAAAGCTAGTCCCGCTTATTAGTAAAATTAGCACACTACTTAACCTTTTAATCTTTAGTAAAGGTCTCTGAACTGTTTATATAAAGATATAGTTATTACATTAGGTTTAAGTTAGTGTGTCAGCCCCTATTAAGGAGGTCAAGTTAGGCGCCTTCCTTAGAAGTAGATGGATTGTAGTATCTTCGTGCGATGTGCTCTGGACAGTCAAAAGAAGTTCGATTCTCTACGGTAGTGAACTAAAGATTATTATTTTTATCGAGTTTAGACTAAACAGTAACACTATTAAACACTCATATGTTTCCTAAAGGTCACTAGAAGAAGGCTTTACACAGCTTTACCCTCAGAATTAATTAGTTATAAAACACGTAATACATTCTAAGAGTAATATTTATT